ACCCATGGTACTTAAGAAAACCAACCAAAATATTGTCTCCCATCCTGGCCCCCTTAAAAATAAATGACCTTCACCCCCAAGATTCCCCCAGCCAGCATGGCTGGCTGTGGAATTCTGGGAGTTGAAGTCCACTCATCTTAAAGTGGCCAAGTTTGGACAACACTGTTTAGGTTGTCATTCTCAAGCCCTATGGTCTGGAACAAGCCAGTATAAATCACTGGGGCTACCTCTTGGAGTAAGTCACTTAAGGCTTATCTTCAGAGTAACTTTCCATAAGAGAACACAGCCAGTTTTCTCCTTATCAGTGGAATTCAACACATTTGCTACAGACAAGGTGGTCAAAGGGTTCTCTGACGTTGGAAACCACAGGTACAGGTTTTCATGATGGAATACAGTTGCTACTTTCCACCTGTAGCAATACCATTCAGGAACATTCGCACCACTTCATCTACTCATGTGGATAAATTCTAAGTACAAATACAGATCTGTGTGGTCATAAATAAATGGCTATGTTTGCAATAGCCTCGTCTCTTATTCCCTGCCATCAAATGTTGTCTTTGTTTGATCGCTCTTATATGTAAGAGGTAATTTTATTTATCACCACAAATGGTTTAAGATTAAATTCTTTTTGGAGCTTTCTTGCATTGAGGAGTTTTATCTCCCTGGACAGTTGATAAAATGAAGTGCGCAAGGTATATCTGCTCCAGGTACAAGCTGTTTAGTATATCTGCCTGAAATATGAATTTGGTTTTGCCCTTTTCTTGACAAGAAAAAACGTGATGAATCCTTGAACAGGTTACAGCTCTGGTGCTAATCTGTAACAGTTTAACGAAAGGTCCACCACTGACGGTAGTAAGATAAGACTTAAAGGACGGCTGAGCAGATTAAAAATCAGGAAAGCAAATCGTCTGAGCAGAGGCTGTTACATAAGTGGCCTATGACTGGCTTTTCTCCTCAGAAGAGGTGAAAATCTTTAATACGTGCTGCAACAAAATACTTTTGTAGGAAAGTAGGATAAAGCCGTTGCATCATTCATGGGGTAGCACAAGGGCTTGCCTGCAAAGGAAGAGAAAGCACACACCTGTACGAAGGCAAGGCCAGCTGAATTAGAAGTAGGAGGAAGAGCCCACTCAACCTGCTAACACCTCCGCAACTAATGCTACATGTTCTTCCTTGGAACATCTTGCACTTTGGGATGGAATCCATTGTAGAAATAGATTATAGGGATCCTGAGTGTGTCATCCTTCAGCACTTTAACACAATGTTTACTTGAAGTATTTTATTTGGAAAAAAATAACAAAGGGAAAATAGAAGACTGGAAGTATGAATGGAGCATGATATTAGCATGTTTGCTCCCATGGCTGCTTTGATTTTGTTCAGAACACCTTTAGCTAACTTTCCAAAACTCAAAGTAGCTTTCTGTAAATGGAAAGTTTGCCACATATTTGGCTCTTGAGCCCATTTCAGAATTGGAGAAACTCTCATGGGCAGCACTGCCGTGGGGGGCTAAGAAAAATCTCACTTGAGTTGAGCTTAGCTCCTAGCAACTATGTTCTTGGCAGCAAGAAAAATTTTTTTTGTCTTTATTACATTGTGGGATTCTTTTACTTCATGATCTAGCTAACAACTTGGACTTCAGGTTGTTTCCCATCCACGTATTAACCAAGGCTGACCCTTCATAGGTTCCAAGGTCAGGCAAGGTTATTTAACTTCTGCCAAATGACAAATTGTAAATAACAGTAAAATATCCATCTCCAGAGAAAAAAGAGGTGTGCCTCAAAAAAGAAATTAACACAATAAACTGGGCAATATAACACAAAGGTTAAAATAGTGTAACACTTGATGTTACAGAGGAACTAATGCAATTGTCCTATAGACAGTTCCTAGGAAGCAAAGGCTTATTTGGAAGAGAGGTTGCTAAGATGTTGCAGCCCAATTAAGGCCATCTCGGCCATGGAAACATACTGGGTGACTTTAGGCTGGTTGCCCTCTCAGCCCACACAAGGTTGTAGTTGTGGAGGTAAATGAATGTGATCCCATCTAAGCCAGCTTGAATGAAGAAAAGGCAAAATATAAATTTACTAAATAAAAAGCACAGTATTGCAAGTTTTCCAAGCACACTTGTCTACTGCTATCATTTAATTTTCATATTTTCTTGTAATGCCATAAATTCACAAGGAAAGAGAGAGAGAGAGAAAGGTATGTGGATTGTTACTATTATGCATTCAGGATGTTTCTTTTCTCAGATAATCTTGCATAGAAAGTGTGATGGTTTCTTCCACTGGGATGTTTCTTGGGCTTTAACCCAATCCGTCCTATAGTATTAAGTACTCTTCAGACCTCTGGCTGCATTGTGAACTGTGAACTGATCTTCAAAGAAGCTGTGTGGCACCAGCCAATCACACATTATATCCTGCTTTTCCTACAAGAAGAATATAAATTCCTTGCTTAGGTGATCTTCTTAGGCAACCTGCTAGAAGTGTATTACATAGCTTTAGGTCATTCACTCAACTGAAACACAAACTGGTTGTATGTAGTCAAGCCAAACCTTTATCTATCATTGAGAAATCCAGGAGAGTGGGTGAATTGCTAGATAAGTTGGAAGAAGGCAAATGTCTTCATCTTCAAAAAGAGGGGAAAAATTTTTAGGGAACTGCAGACCAATCATTCTGACACACCTGGGAAGATGCTAGTGCATATCATAAAGAGATCAACTTGTAAGCATCTTGAAAATTCACAGACATCACCATGAATTTGTTGAATCTTATATCTTTTAATTAGGTAACTGCCTTAATAAAGTGTGGGAATGCTGTAATTTAATGTCCTGACTTCTGCAAAAAATTTTACAATATAATATTTTGATTAGCAAACTAGTTAAATATCAGCTAGCTGGCAGAAGGTGATAAACAGCTGGCCTGAAAATCATATTCAAAGAGTGCTCAACAATAGTTCAATAGTTAAACTACATTAACCAAAGGAAGGGTAGTGAAATGTCTGCAAGAAAATCAAGCTCAGAAAGCATCAAGAACCAAACAGCTCAGTCTTGAGCAACATGTTCTCTTCTGTTCAAAGTTTACTTTCCAAATCACAGGAAGCAATTATTCAATTTTACCTTGCATTGATCAGACCCCACCTCGAGTGCTGTGTCCAGTTCTAGACATCACATTTTAAGAATAATTCAGACAAAGTGGAACATGTTCAGAAAAAGGTAATGAGGACAATCAAGGGATTGGAAAGTATATTCTATGAAGAGAGGTTTTAAAAATTGGGAATGTTTAACCTTGAGAGGAAAAGATGGGGGGTATCTGATAGCCCTCTCCAGATACCTGAAAGGATGTCACACAGAACAAGGTCAAGACCTAATCTCTTACATTCCAGAGTGCAGGACATGGTACAGTGGATTTAAGTTACAGGAAGGCAGACTAATTGAATGTGGGCGGGGGGGACTTCCTAGCAATGCAATTTGACTGTGGAACCAATTATTCAGAGAAGTGGTGGGCTCCCTTTCAGAGTATGTTTTCTTATAGAGGTTAAAAAGCCATCTGTCAGGGATGTTTGAAGCTGGAGTCTTGCACTGAACAGGAATAGGACTTGGTGGCCTAAATGGCCCCTTAACAAGTTTATGATTTTGTGCCAGATGCAAAAAATGAAACTCTCAAATCACTGAATTAGCACAAGGCAAAGTCAAAAGGTTGCAAGAAGGAGTAATGCAGTGTGGGTTAATTTACTGCAATACAAATGTGGCTACATTGAAAGAAGTTGGTGCCAAAAAGGGTGCATAAGCTAAATTCTGCCTTGAAAATTTGTCCCTCTTTACCTCTTATATTCAGTGCACTACAATTAATTGAGAAGTGTGTCAGAGCCTGTATTTGTTTTCTTTTTCTATCACAAATGAAAGATGAAAAACCCTGTTAAAAAGATCAGTTCAAAAATAAATGCTTTCTAAGAAAAAGGGGAGTATTCATTTCATTTTGGAGGCATCCTGATTTCTCAACCAGATAGTTTGTCACCTTTGGACTTCCTGTCAGTGAGGAAAAGAAAAGCAGACCTGTTTCCTAAACTGTGCCTTTGGTTCAATCAACTTCAGTATTTAGGTATCTGTTTGGTATGAATTTGTGATGAAATTCACTACCCCAGACAGACCCAGTGCATAATCTGGGGGTCCTCCTGGACTCACGACTCCTGCTTGAAGAGCAGGTGGCAGTCGTGGCTAGGCAGGCCTTTGCACGACTTCGTATTGTGCGGCAGTCCGCCCCTTCCTGGATCAGGGGGCCCTCCGCACGGTCACCCATGCCCTGGTCCCCTCTGGGGGGGTATAACGTAATTTGC